ACGTGATACAGACAGGACAGAGTCTCTGCAGGAGACATGTGCAGTAGAGCGTGGGGAGAGACGGGGTGATGTGCTGATATATATATATTTTTTTTTTTTCAAAAACAATGATTTGGTTAATGACTTGGATAATATATTCCCTCATACTATTGCACATGTATAATTCTGAAGGTAAACGTTGTCATAAATAAATGGACAGTTGTTTATGTGGTTTAATGTTTTAAAGATATTTAACTGTACCAAATGCTCGGCCTGTTTGTGATGATCTGCTCTGAGCAGCTCTGTGTGTTCTTGTTTTGTAAAGGAGCTCACCGGAGCAGGAAAAGGCTGGAGACCCCTGGACTAAATGATGCTCCATTACTGATCAACACCGTCACATCCACCAACAGAAAGCAGCACAGCCGCGTGCCAGGACCGCCGAGTGTAAGAACACACCACCAAGTAGATTAAGACATGAAGTTTAATTCATTACTTTGGCCCAGGATCGGTACATCTATAAACAAACACTGAAGTACTCACTTATTGAGCGGAGATTCAACACGCGGAGAGGCGGACATGAACAGAGGCTCAGAGCCGCACAGGATCATTTAATCCAGTCGCGGTGTTTCCAGTTGTCAGGATCCTCGACTTCTGAACCACTTCAGAGATCCACGTCACCAGAGCGCCGCCAAGTGGTGTTCCAGTCATGGATCTATTTGATTAGAGTTCTATTGTTCCCCCAAAGCCCTCGCGCCCTCCGCGCTCCACTCCTCCGTTTGGCTCTTTTCCCAGGACGCACGAGTGGATCCTTGGCCTCCTCGGAGCGCCGCAATTACCCACAACCACAGGAGTAATTTTACGTAGGACTGGTGGACATGTCCTCACACACACGTCTCTCCGTTCTCTCCGCTCAGAGATCTGCACAAACTTTGGATCAACATGTCCTGTGGTAACTCCAGCGCAGACTCCAGGTTTCAGTCTTGTTTTGTTGTGTGCGGGGCGCGGGGGATGCGCGGCTCTGACAAACAAACGAGGAAACATGACTTTGTTTTCAAAAGAAGTCAAAGAGGACAACTGTGTGAATGCTGCTGACGCCAAAAACTAACTAACTAAATAAATATAAAGATATCTAGACATAGAAATATAAAGATATATAAAATATAAAGACGAGAAAACGCGCGTGATGTTCCGCGCGCGCGGATTAGCCACGTTGTCAAGAGCCTACAGTTTTATATTTACACACTAGAATGTAGATCAGGCATGTCCAAACTATGGCCCGGGGGCTAAATGCGGCCCTCAGACAAATTTTTATTGGCCCTCAGATTTCCAGGTCAATTGGCCCAATTACCTTGCATCAATTAAAAAATATGTTTTTACTGCAAATTTTTTGAGACTACCTGGATAAAGCTAATATTTAATATTTAGTATTTGGTTTTAAGGATCTTAGCATGAATAAAGACTGATGGTTCATTCTAACGTGTTAAACATGCACATATTTCAGTTATTCACTGTATTGAGCTCCAGTCCATGGCCCTCTGCTTCGTCTGTGTTTAGAGATGTGGCCCTTGATGAAAAAGTTTGGACACCCCTGGTCTAGATCCTCCTCTGTCCTGTTACCCCTGCAAAGACACAGCTCCTCACCTGAGCGCGCGCTCCTGCAGGATCCAGGTGCTTTAGTCCTGAACTCTCCTAAAGCTTCTGTCTATGCCCCGTCACTGCGTAAATCATTTCAGACTATGTCCCAGTGCGTTCACTAGAAATAGTAAAACGAAGCGTCATTTTAACACGTATAACACTGCGCGTTCACGAGGCGCGTCCCCGTAGACAAAGCGTGTAACACTTTAGTTTTACTGTGCGCGGGTTTGGGTCGGGTCACATTTGTACCATTTCTCCTGGGCAGGTGACTCGGGATGTTTTAGACTCGGTCGGGAGTTTATTCAGTGTGTGGTCGGGAGCGCGCACGAGGCGGCGCGCACAGGGCCGCAGACTCGGTTAAAAGAATAAAAATGAAGCGCACTGGGGAAATGACTGGACACTCTTTTTCTACTGACGCCAGGCTCCAGATTCTGCATGTACAGATGCTCAACAATCAGCCTGATAATCAGTGAATATATAATAAGTGAATGAATCAACGAGACAAGCCTCTGCAGACACAAGTGCTCAAGTGTTAAAGTGTTAAAGCCCCGCAGCGAAATCAAACTCGTTACAAAAACGTGACAAACTGACTTGATCAAAACATGAGTTGAGGGTCATGAGGAAAACTGTGCTGTTGTCTCAAGAGTTTTGTGGAGGTTCTGTCCGGGGCGCAGAGGGAGGAGAAAAAAGATGAGAAACTCTGAAACATACACGAAATTACACGAAGTCACGTGACCCCGCCTGGCCCCCAAATCTAAAACGTATCCACCAATCCTGAAGACAAAGTTACGCTCTTCCCCACAATGCAACTGCAACTTTCATGTTTTATGAACTTTATTTAAGCAGTAAAATGTATTTTCATTAAATAAGGCTCATTCTACAAAGAAGTAAATGTTTCGCTGTCGTTGGCACTTTGCTGCAGATCACACACTATTATCACATCGAAAGAATCAAAATGAGGAGAAATGCAGAAAAATGTCATAGTGTAGGTTTCCTGTGGGCTGCCAGACTGAATAACAATAACAGATGATTGAATGAGCCTTCATTATTCACATGTTTGAATGACTGTGACACATAAAGACACTTTTGAACACTTTACATTTGTAGAGGCTGATGTTTCTTCAAACTCTGGGTTTTATGGTGTTTGATCTGGTCACGTGGCTCCAGGAGCTGTGAGCGGAACACTGGGCTCTGCTTCATAAGAGAGAGTCTGGAGGAGAGCTACAAAGTGATCTTTGGAGGAAGGATCCTGGGAACTGACAAACACCCAATGATTCCTCTCCTCGATTCTTGACCAACCTACAGAGGAGACACAGAGAGGAGAGAGGAACAGAGGGGAGAGAAGAGAGAGAAGAGAGAGAGGAGACACAGAGAGGAGAGAGGAACAGACAGAGAAGAAGAGAGAGAAGAAGAGAGAGGAGCAGAGGAGAAAGGAGACACAGGGAGGAGAGAGGAGAAAGAGGTGAGAGAGGAGCAGAGGAGAAGAGGAGCAGAAGAAGAGCAGAGGTTGGTTCTGACCAAAAAGAGCCTGTAATGAGGACTATACTGAGACTTATTTTATATTATTCCGGGACTTTTAAATCAACCATGGTCTTTACTTCCAGTTAAACATGTGGAACATTGCTGCTGTCCTGGAGCGGTGCTGTTACAAGACAAACTCCTCACTACCGCGGGCCACCTTACCCCATGTTATTGCGCCCCCTTGTGGAGCATTAACCCATAGTCTGTATTTTGTATTTTTCCAGTGTTGACTCTGATCATTTCTATTAGTGACTAGAGCCACGAGCTCACTGTATAAACACAAACCTTCATCTGAACATTCATCTGAGCTGCTCATCTGTGTTAAATACACTGCTCACAAAAACACATCAGATCTCAATGTGAAAAAAAAAAATCTGTTGGATATCTGTACAAATCTGGACAGGACAATGTTTTAGGAACAAAAAGATGCTCCTCTTTTAATGGAAATGAACAACAGGGGCACTAGAGCAGCACCAATGTGACAAGTCCTAAAACACGACTGGTTTGACATGTGTTTAGTGCTGCTTGGACAACACTCATCATCACTACTGGGAGGATGAGGCTGTTCCTGAACCCTACACAAGTTACACATGTCCAACTTCTCCAGGACGGCACATCCGGACAAGTTGCATGAAGATTTAATGTGTCTCCAGCACAATCTCCAGAACATGGAGGATTTTTCAGAAGACAGACAGTTCCTCTAGGAGAGCTGGACAGGGTTGTAGAAGGTCCTGAACTCATCAGCAGGATCCATATCTGCTCCTTTGTGCAGGAGGAACAGGCTGAGCACTGTCCCTACAGAATGACTCCAGAATGACCTCCAGCAGGACACTGGTGTGAATGTCTCTGCCCAAACAATCACAAACACACTTCATGAAGGTGACTTGAGGACACCACGTCCTGTAGTGGGCCCTGTGCTCACCACCCAGCACCCTGGAGCTTCACTGCCATTTGATAGACGACAGAGAATTGGCAAGTTCACCCTGAGCACCTGTGAAGAGTCTGGAGAAGACAAGAACACCACTCTTCTGCCTGCATGGTTCAGCATGAGCGGTTTGGTGGTGGCTCAGTGATGTTCTGAGGAGGCAGATCCATGGAGGGAGACACAGATCTCTACAGGCTAGTAAACAGAAGTCTGACATCATTATGTATCAGGATGAAATCTTTGAACCCATTGTCAGACTCTACGCTGGTGCAGTAGGTCCTGGGTTCCTCCTGATGCACCACAATGTCCAGCCTCATGTGGCAAGAGTCTGCAGGCAGAACCTGGAGGATGAAGAGATTGATACAACTGAATGGCCCTCATGATCACCTGACTTAAACCTGATAGAACATTCTGGGACATTATGTTTGGGTCCATCAGACGCCTCCAGGTTGCTCCTCAGACTCTACAGGAGCTCAGTGATGTCCTAACACAGATCTGGGAGGACATCCCACAAGACTCCATCCATCGTCTCTTTAGGAGCCACGACATCGTCAAACATGCACACAATCACATGGGACACAGGAGATACAGAGAAGCATTCTGAGTTGCAGAAATTTAATTTTGGACTGACCTGCCACATCATTATTTCACTTTGATTTTCAGAGTGTCTATAAACTGAAGCCCTCTGTGGCTGAACACATTATTTTCATTAAAAGAGGATCCTTTTGTTCTAAAACATTGCTCTGTTCATATTTATATATTTATCTACTTTTTTTTCACATTGAGATCTTTTTGTTGAAAAGTGTTCCTTTTTTGAGCAGTGTATGAGTGACCTGTAGAATGTGATGTGAGACACTGCTTAGTCGCTCTCTGCTGCTGTGACCCCATGAATAAATGAGCCTTCACTCTGCTGAAATGTTGAAATGAACCAGAGCTTCAGTTCTGTTTTGTTGAAAAGTTTATTTCTTTAAACTTCAAATCAAACGCAGCAACAGATTGGACATTTCCAAAAATACTTTATCAAAACATATTTACATAGTTGTGTTTTTGACCTGAAAAACTCATGGAGCAGGTGAAGCCGGAGAAAACCAACACGTCCTGGATATTTTACAAACCAATAAAAAGCACAAGTCTTAAAAAGTCACAGATCACTGAAGGACGACGAGCTGGAAACAAAGAAGGTTCTGCAGAAGCCTCATGTGATCAGCTGCAACACAAAACACACCACAGATGAGATAATAAGGACTCAACCAGGACTAAAACAGGACTAAAGCAGGACTAAACCAAGACTAAACTCAGATTAAACCAAAACTATACCAAAATTAAACCAGGACTAAAGCAGGACTAGCCAAGACTAAAGAAGACACTTTACTGCCCCCTGTGGCTGGAGCTTGCACTACTGGACTGAACTTGATGTATCAAAATGTCCGTCTTTTCCCTAATTCCATGTTTTTAAATCATCCCAAACATGTGGCAGTGACCCACTGAGCTGCACACGCTCGCTGCAGGTCAAACATTTACACTTGTACACTCCCATTCACTATAGTTTGTCAAATGATTTGAATGACAGTTACATTTCTATGACATATTTTATTTAAAGCTCCTATATGACTAGCTTCTGACCTCTGTTCTAATGTTGTTTCTTCCTCAAAAACAGACCTGGAGTTTGAGTAATTCTTTATTATTAGTCTGTTCAAATCTCCAAAGCTCAAAATGCTCTGTTCACCTTGTGATGTCATGTAGTGGTAGTTTTCAAGTGAACAGCTCCTTTTACCTTTAGTTCAGTAGAAATGGGTGATGTGAAGGCAGAAAGTATCTAAATAATTCTAATGAAGATTTGTAAAAACACAGTGAAGCACTTCCTGTATTACCCTGTGACATCACAAGGTGGAAAAGTGTTTTCTGTTTGAGTGAAGACCTCAGCCTAAATGTGCAGGTTTTTGTGTTAAACGTGTGAATGACACAAAACACAATAGTGATGGGAACGTCGGCTCTGTTTGGAGAGACTGTTCTTTTGGTTCTGCTTACAATAAAAAGTCGTCTCTTTCGGCTTCCAAATGGCTCCTTAAATTAATTTATCACCAAAAATAATGCAAAACTGTGAGTAAAATCAATTAGTAATGTACTGTGGGCAGATATTGCAGCAGGAACAGTTGCACCTTCATTAATAGCAGGTTCCCTTGCTTCTTTTTTATTTCAGAAAGGCACTCTAACAAAAACTAATCCTCAACTCCCAACATGGAATCCACTCCCGTCGTTCACTTCAAAGAGCCGGCTCTAAGAGCTGGATCGTTCACAACCGACACATGACTAAAACACAACTCCAGGTGTGTTTGTGATGAGGAAACTCCATTAGAACACAGATGTAGAACAGAGTCAGATGGGAGCTCTAAAGTCCAGAGGAGACACTCACAGATTTGACGGTCTGTTTGATGAAGTCTTTTTTGCTGCTCAGATCGTGTTCTGAATATGCCTCAAACACCTGCAACACACACAACAGACACAACACACTGAGAGAACACTCCTCTGGAGATGGACTCATGTCTACTACCATGTTAGACCACATTTACTCTGGTGTACTACAGCGGGAGGAGGAGGAGGAGTATTGTGTGTACCATCTGGCAGGTCTGCAGTAGTATTAGTAGCAGTAGTTACAATAGTACTAGTACTCGTAGTAGTGTTTGTACCTTCTGACAGATTTGCTTCATGGTGAGCTCCTCCAGATCAGCCTCCTTCAGTAAACTCTGCACTGTCTCCTTTAACTGTTGGTCACTTGGAGTCTTCTTCACCATTTTACTCAGAGGCTCGTCTTCATCAGAGCTGTCGTCCGCTGGAAATACAAAACACAGATTAGACTATACAACAGATACACACGACAGTACAAACACAGGACAAAACTGCACATTTAACCTCACACAGAAACGTTCAAGTGCAGATGACAGGTTTGATTCTTTCATTTTGATTTCATTTGTTGTGACAGTACCTGTTGTGAATATAAATTATAGTTTTACCCTAATCAAGGAGGAATTGGTGAAGAAAAACTGAAAAATGTGTTGGAAATGACAGGAAGTAGAAAGTTCCTCACTGATGACATCACACCAGGAGAATCCTATTGTCACATTTTACACACAAAAATATTATGCTTTAAAAATGATTTCAACAACATGAAGGTGTTTTAAGATGTTGTGGTGTGGTTGGAGAAATACAACAGGAGAAAGGAGCTTGTCACTGACAGAAATGATCATTTGTGGATTTGACTTGTGGAGATGACTGACCTGTGGTGTTGTTGGTTTTGCTGTAGCTGCTGCTGTCTGCCTTCTTCGTCTTCGTCGCTGGTTTGGATTTTTTCTTCTGGGGCTGAAACAGAGACAGGTTAACCACTCTGCCAAAGTAACACAGGGAGGACATGCACACTCCACTCAGAGACAGGGATCAGGGATTCAACCCACAACCTCCTCCAGGGTTACCACGCGGTATTTTTTTCATTTGACAGTTTTTCAAATAAAGATTATAATAAATAAAGACTATACCTGTCCACAATTAGTATTAATAGTATTAATTATATTATCGTATAAATTTTCTCTTTTCTATTTTTTTCCAGAAAAAAAAATAGCCCGTTTTACAATGATGACGACGCAACAGTCTACATAAATTTGACATCCAATAATCCAGTAAAGCAAAGGGTGGAGACATTTTCAAGGATGGAATCCATATTTTTCATGCGTTTTCCATGTTTGGGAAACAAACCAATTATTTTTCAAGTTTTACCAGGGAGAGTGGGACCCTGTCCTCAGTGAGCGGAGAGGAGGCTGCTCTCACCTGGCTGTCGCTGCTCTCCGACTCAGAGTCCGTCTCTTCTTTCCTGCTCCTTTTATTCGCAGGTTTCTTTTGGGATTTTGTTTTTTTTGAGGGAGTCACCTTTTTGTCTTTCCCTCGGGCTTTAGGTTTGGGAGACTGGAATGAAACACATGGAATAACATTAAAGTGGGTTGTGTGAAAAATCTCTCAGTCGTCCAGGTGGAATCATGGGCTTCAGTTCTGATGAAGCAGCTTGGATGAGCAGTGAAACAGTGAATTTCTCCTTCGCCATTAAACTGGGTTCTAAAGATCTGACTTAGTTGTTTCCCTATTTTGACAATTTTGGTGAAGTTTATAATTGAACTTCCTGGTTGGATGAGGCAGATGTGACTTCGATAACAGTTATTTAGCAACCATAATATTAACAAGAGCCAAAACCTCTAACCTCAATTACACACTAGTTATGATTAGACTAATAAAAATGACAACACTCACTCGTGTCATCTGCTCTGATTCTGTGCCGATTCCTGTTCTGGTTCAGAGTAAATCACTATCAAAATGCATAAAAATTGTAAAGAAAATTACAGATGATTCAGTTCTTTTCAACAAGGAGATCTGGTTCCAAAAGGACCCCTTCTAAAGAACAAACTCGTTCACAAATGTCACTTCAATAATACCTACATCTTGTAATTTTCCACTTTGTATTGATAGAAATTGTGATCTGGCTCTTTTAAAAATTGTGATATACATTTTTGACACGAGTGTTTCTCCTCAATAGAAGAGACTATGGGGGCCCCCACAGATTAAAAAGAACACGGACTAAACACTGGCCAAACAAACTCACACTTTGTTGCTCCTTATATTGTGATTCTCATAAAAAGTAACAGTAACAGTTCAAATATGAAGTACAGGCAGTAAATGACTTAAATTGCACAAATTGTATGAAAGAAAGTTATGAATCTGGAAGTATTTGTGTCAACTAGGGATGGGCATGATTAATTGATTAATCGATAATTGATCATTACGAATTTCATCGATTATGTTAATTTTAATCGACAAACTGAATGTAGGTTGCTGTGTGTGTCGTGACCAAACGGGGTCCGTACATGTGTCTCTGCATCAGAAGGAGCGAGACACAAACAGTCGGTCAGACTGCAACGTACCGAAGCACAAATGCGTATTTAATGATGATTTGTGAAAGAAATTCCACGCTTTCCGTTGTGTTCGGGACAAGTGTGAGTCCATGTGCACAGTGTATAAAGCAGGAACATATGTTTCTGTGTCCAGTGGGAAAAAGTTTTACCAGGTGAGAGTCGCTCAATGTGGATGACGAGGCCCCACCCCCCTCACCCCGTACGGTGTCCTGGTTTTGACAAACGCAAATGTTCACACTAACCTATATTCACCTGAGTCATGTCTTTTAATCTGACAGAAATTGAACCGCATCAGCGACACAAGAGCTGTAGTTTTATCTTTGCTTAGTTTATTCAAATTAGCCATGCGATTTTAAGTTTTGTTTCTGTGAGAGTTGAACAAAACTGAATTAAACACATTATAATGTCAAACAGCTGATGTGGCTCTAGAGTCGTTACGGTTTATATGTCGTAAAGTTGAATTTATTTATGCAGATTAGTGCAGATAGTAATAATAATGATGATCATTTTAATATAAAAACGTTAATGATTAATCGATAATCGATCGTTAATTCTTCCGATGATCGATTAAGAAAATTTCATCGAATGCCCATTCCTAGTGTCAACATAGTGTGAACAAAAATCTATGGGGAACAGTGAACATACCAGCCTAACCTGCTCCTTACCTCCTCATCTTCATCCTCCTCCTCTTCATCCTCAGACCGCTCGTCCTCCTCGTGTTTATCTCCAGACTCTGCTCCAGAGCCTGCGTCTGATCCGTCAGTCTCAGTGGCGGTCTTCCTCTCCTCCTCGTCCTCTTCTTCGTCGCTGCTGGAGTCCATGACGATGGCTTTGCTCTTCTTGGGGCTGGTGTTGGAGCTCGGTTTCTGTTTGCTGCTGTTTCGTTTCTTTGACGTTTTTTTGGGTTTTGAGTCGTCGCCCGAAAGCTTCTTCTTGGAGCGTTTTTTCTTTTTTGGCAATCGCTAAAAAAACAACCATTATTTTAGCAAAGACAGAATATAGTGTTTATAGTATTATAGTAACATATTTCAGTCTGTGTGATGCATTTACACAAAGTTGGGGTTTTAACACCTTCTTTTACTTGGTTCACTAGGGAGTGGATTGGTACAGGTGTACAAGTGTCTCTCCACTTTCCAAAGTGAACTATAACCTTTGACCCTGGAGGGTACTAGCTCCCAGAGGGGTCTGAGTCCAGTACACAGGGTTTATGCAGGGTTCAACAAACCAAATTTAATGCTTTTTTTAATGCCTTTTTAATGCCACAATTCAGTATTTTTAGGTGGTGCATTGTGTAACTTTTCTGTTGGAGGGTCTGCCAAATGCTTTTCTACATTGAAATGTTATTACTTTGTCTGGAATGTTTCACAGTATGGCATTAAACCTTTCTGTCATCAAGGAGACCAAACTAGACCAAGTTACTGGTCAGTTCTGTGGAAAGGCGACCCCACTCAGTCCGAATGTCAGAATTTTCCATAGCTCCCGGACTTGAAGTTAGCCTCTCTAATCAGCAAGAAACCTGGAGACAACTACCCACCGGTGGGAATAAACGTCTGGAGGTGTTCAGTGTATATATGCAAATGTTCCAGATTGTGCTACGTGCAAGATGTAGGCTTCATTTTCCACAGCAATATTTACTTCCTTGAATGTATTGTAATAAATCCTAGATGCAAAAATTTTTTGGTACAACTGCCAATATTTTAATGCCGCTTGAAATTAAATGTTATGCTTTTTAAGGCCGTCATTTCAACAGAATCCATTTAATGACTTTTAATGCTTTCTAATGCCTCGTGGAAACCCTGAGTACAGTGTGGTTAATATGACGAAACTGATGATTGGACAAGAGAGAATGCAGAGTCAGGCACAAACAAGACGTCTAAAAGCAGAAACCAACACGGACACAAAAAAATCTCTCACTAAACGCTGACTTGGTCTTGTTTATCACAAGTATATTGTGATAAACAAGTCAGTATATGTCCAGTGATGTGACTTACACATTGAGCTGATGTACTCAGCAAAACAAAACTGTTTAGTGTTTATCGATGCACGACACTCACCACAAGAGTGAAAATATAATACTTCCAGTGCACAATACATCTAACATGAGCCAAACCCACTGCATCTCATTAAGAGAGGCTCAAGTGAAATAAATGCAGAAAAAGCTGACAATAAACAGAAAGCAGTTTAGTATTTACTAACTTTAGCCACGTCTCACAGCACCACAAATCTGCATTTGCTAAACGTTTTAGTGAATCGCTGAGATTGAAAGTATAATTCAGGTATGATTTAGATTTGAATTATTAAGATAACATGAGTTCTGTTTGGGTCCAGGCTCCAAGGAAACTGTGCCAATGGAAAAGAGGCTTGTTGTGTTTGGTTATACTTTAAAACTGTATGTAGTGTACCTTTCCGCTGCTTTTGGGTGACACCAGAAACGTCATGATTCTGTCGACCAGGTCTGAGTGAGTGCCCTTCTTCTCCAGGTCCAATACCTCACACACCAACTTCAGCTTCGTGTTTGTGAAGTTCCTGCAACAAAAACACAACATATCAGAATTTTGTAGACCAGGAGTGAACCAGGACTAAACCAGGAGTGAACCAGGAGTTAAGCAGCTGTAAAGCAGGAGGAAACCGAGCTTAAACCAGGGCTAAACCAGGACTAAAGCAAGACCAAAGCAGGTCTAAACCTAAAGTATAACAGGACTAATGTAGGTCTAAAGCAGTTCTAAACAAAGACTAAACAACTAAAGCAGGGAGTAAAGCAGGGCTAAACCAAGTCAGATCCAAAATAGGACAGGACTAAACAATGATCTTGAGAATGATGATTTAAACATGAATTCAGACAAAAATAATTGAAATCTCTGGACTCACTTTTGGAGTTTGTCACGCTTTTTGTTGAACTGTTCACTGTCGGCATCAAAGGGAAATCCATTAAACTGACGAAGGTTCTTCTTTATCAACGACAACTGACAACACAAAAACACATTTAGGTCATTGAGGTTTCTCTTACATCATACAGCCCCACTCCGACTTGCCACCTGCTCGTCTCCATGGTGATGTTATTCATTTGTCTGGAATGATCATCAGTATGCCATTAAAAAAGACCTTTCTTGCATTTAGTAAATTACATGTTTGTGTTGCTAAGATCAATTCCACAGAATTGACCTGTAACGTGGCTTTGTCTCCATAGGGTCAAGGAGGGACTGGACTTTTAGTCAAATTGTGAAACATGAGGATACATGAGGAGCCATACAGTACATAGACAGTGGCCCTGACTCAGAGCTTTCACCTAAACAAGAGAGGTAACTGGAGGCTGTGGATCTGTCTTTTAAAATACACTTGCATTATCATCCACATAAGCCAATGTATAGATTGGGATCTATCGACCTTTTGATTTTTGGCTCTGCTGTACAAATAGCCATATAATGCTTTTCGATTTCCAGACAATGGGGTAATGGCTAAAAAATATTGCTAACAAATATTTGTATTGAGTATCAATAACTGCAGATAAGACAAACTTTGCTGATCCACAAGGGAAATTATTTGACATATATTGCATGATCAGTATCAAAATCGTCTTATAATGATATGAGAACCGATGTATTGCCCATCCCTTCTTTGAGATAAAGTTGGAGTTTCTTTTTTTAAGTTTCATATTGTTTAATCCATGTTTCACATCTGTGAGTGAACTGATTTGTTGTAATAAACATTTCACTCCCTTTGGCAATGGCCAAGGGAATATACATCTATCTATAAAATATGAATATTCACTAAATAAATCACTGTTCTGCTCTCATAGAGCTGAGAGGGAGCTTTTCTGTGCGTACTTTTCCTCGGCGGTCAAAAAGCAGACTGTGCAGAGGCACCAGGTCGACAGGTTTCATCTTGTTGAGTTGGTGACAGGTGCGAGGGATGTCCCCCAGTTTCTCTCCATTGCCTGAAACACAATAGCACAATCAGGTCAGGGTCTAATCTGACTGCAACTACAACACAGGCTCTGAGGGGGTAACTGACTTCTACAGGGTATTAACAGTAACTTATAACACATGTAGATCACCATGTTACTGCTGATTGTTTTGAATATGTTATATTCACTAAAATAATAATAATAAAAATAATAATAATGCATTAGTCTTATAGCGCTTTTCCAGATGCTCAAAGTCGCTTTACAGTTCAGTGGTTTATTCATTCACTCTTGACATGGTAAGCTACTATTGAGGCCACAGCTGCCCTGGAGCCACCATTGGGCCCCCTGACCACCACCATCACCCACCCTCACACCACTTTCATACTAAGCAATGTGGGTGAAGTGTCTTGCCTAATGACACAATGACTGTTTTTCTGTGTGAATGGCGCCCCCATTTGGCTCCTAATTTTCCCAGTTGCTTCCCATCCAAGTACTGACCAGGCCCTGCCCTGCTGAGCTTCTCAGATCTGACAATATCAGGCTTTGACAAAGAGGTTTGGCCACGAAAGTGAAACATGTTAAAAACAACATTTAACATGTTTCACTTTTATTTTTAGCACTCTGAGTCTCTCCTCCCTAGAGTAAACTAAGAAGAACTAAACCAGTGATAGTGTGTAACTTTCTGGATGATTTCATGGAAACATTAAATGATACTACAAACCATTCTCCATGGAGACAGATGATGTGTTTGCTGCCATACTGTGGAATATTATAGTCAAAGGAACAAATATTTCCATGGAAAAAAGCAGGAGGAGGCTCTCCTCTCTCAAATAAGAGTTGGTTTTCTGGCGTTGCAAGCCCTCTCATAGGAAGGATGTTAGTTTTTTTTTTCCTACATTTTCAGTGCAAAGTGAAAGTATGAGTTAAAGAACAAATAAAACGTCTCAAAAGTCCATCTTTTGAGACAAGAAGTCTATCTCCAAACCACATGCTTCTACTGCTTTACTATAGACCTCTCCATTAAAAAAACGCCACACACTTTCACTACAATCATTTCCATGATTTCACTATGGAACTGCCAGTCTATACTGTATCAAAGGTAAAAGGTAGGTGTCAACTAAAACTACCATTACATGACATCACAAGGTGGAACAGAGCATTCTGAGTTTTGGAGATGCAGACGACCTAATAATAAAGGTTTACACAAGCCCAGGTCTGTTTCAGAGGTAACAACATTCTAACTTGGCTTAAACTTGTAGTATAGGACCTTTAAGGTCAGGGTTTGGTTAAGGTTACTCCAATACTGCCTCTGGTTAGGGTTAGGATCAGCCCTCGTGTGTGAGTGTATCCTATACCGTCTCCGATGCTCAGTTTGACGGTCTTTTTGGGGACCTGCATGTCTAAACGCTCCACACTCTTCTTCGCTCTCTTTCCTTCGATGATCTCACCGACTCCTGGGACAAAAACACCACTGTTACATGACACAAAACAATTAACCATTCTGACTGCATACTGGACCAGGAACCTGATAACTCCCTGTCAAACTCATCATTTGGGAATCATTCTTAGAGATGAATAGAGTAGGCAAAAACAGTACTAACAGAAACTAGAAGCACAGATTAGAAGTAGTATGAGTAAAAAAAAATAAGTATTTAGGTAACAGGATGTGACATCTGATTTATAATTTGAAGTTATAAAGTATAATTTGGGAAGAGGAAGCACAACTTTTACTCGAGTTAAATATGGTTGTCGCAACTGAATAGTCACATATTTATTTAATGAAATTTATAAACTCAAACTGTTCTAGAGCCTTCATAAGTCTGTAACTTTGTCCTTACTGGATCTTTTGACTGGATAACAGTTGACAGCCTGCTCTGTTATAATACACCAGCATACTGTATACCAGATCAGAACTGAGCATATTTTTAGGGCTAAATATGAAATGTTAACCCTTTCCACTCACCTTATGGTTTGGATTACAGTTTTTGAACATTCAAAATACTATCTATTAGGGTGGGCAATATCTCAATATTTTAAATATATCGAGATTTTTTTTTAAACATGAAATGGATTCTGACATATCGTATACATTGATATAATGCTTATATTTAATTCTGATTTTGCCGCTTTGCTTGTTTACCTTCTGTGTGCATGCTCCTGCTTTCCTGGTTGATTTTTTTCAGCACCTATAGTTTATGTAAATGAGCCACGTGGTTTTAACTTTCGCTTCTGTAAAATGTAAACAAATGTGTCAAAGCTGCATTAAACACATTAAAATCTCAAATGGGCTGATGTGGCTCTATAGTAGTTATGATTTCTATGTTTAGAAATGTAAAGTTTATTTATGCAGAAGATTTAAATGAATAATCTGCTGCAGTGTAGAAGTAGATGATGATCTTGAGATGAGTTGTTTTATTTTTGAATGAAAAGAAGGCAATATGTATTATTTCTTCCTTTATTTTACAGTTAAATTGTCATTTTTGTATAAAGGGATTTTAATTTTTTTTCACTTCGATAAAAAAAAAAAAAAAAAAAGACGTGGAATTTGGCAGATTTGGTTTTGCAGTATTTTTTGCGGGGTTGTTTTCCTGTACAGATACTGAGATATATTGTATATCGAGATATAGCAAAATATATCGATATATTTTTTGCTCCATATCACCCAGCCCTTCTGTCAATGCATTATTGTTGTCTCTTTTAAATAAAAGGTGTGTACGTTCGGAAATAATCATAATAGCCTAATGAAAACTTAACAGAATGCTGGAGTAAGAGATACTAAAATTACTACTAAAAATCATACTAAAATTACTTTCCCAAAACTTTCATTGAATTTACAAAATTTCCTGACTTTTCCAAGCCTAGAAAACATAATTTTCAATTTCCTTGATTTTTCCAGAATTTCCACGACCATGGGAACCCTGTTTAATGAACAAACTCTGCAGCCTAAATGCATGGAGTTTGTATGGGATGGTGAAGTGAGGACTTTTACCCCAGAGGGTGGGTTTGTCTGGACTGAGCTGCTCTTCTGATGCCGCTGATCCGTCCATCGCCTCCTCCGTTGCCTCACTCATGGTTCCTCTGAGTCACTGGAGACAAGAAGGACAGGGTCAGAGCAGAGACAGAGCAGAAAAAACAGGACTGACCCGAAGATGAAACCAGGGTTAAACCAGGACTGAACCAGGGAGTAAACAAGGGCTGAACTAGAACTGCACCAGGACTAAACTGTCCCTCCTCCTCTGTATCCTATATGCACTGTTCCTCTTTTGCCTCATTACTGTTCTTCCTCTGCATCATATATCCAGCTCTGGTCAAAAAGATGCCTTCACACAAAATAAAACAATATTATTATTAGTAGTAGTTTATAATCTGTAATGAGTGAGCCACAAAGTCTGACTGCATCTCTGGCTCCTCCTGTCAACACAAAAGCAGAGCGGGTTTGGCGCGTTTCAGTCACAGCTTCTCCATTCTGCACTTTTAGTTCAATTTGATCAGATAATTAACTAATTGTTGCATATATCCCGACCGCTGTGTTTGTCTAAATGTACTAGTGTTCAATAAACGCGCACAAACTGTTTAAACGCACTTCGTTAAACCTTGTGTTTGTCCCGGGCTAAGGGGAGCTAATGCTAACTACGGCGTTAGCTCTCAGTGACGTTTAGTTTGGGGCGTTTAGGCGCAAATCTATTCTTTGTGAGATCAAGTGTTGTCAGAGTGAAGCGGAATAAGGGGAGATTGTCCGTAAATTGGTCCGAAGGCTGTGGAGACTCTGGGCCAGTTTTAAAAGCAGATAAAGTACCGTATTTTGGCTTGTTTTGGTGCGTATCCGCTGCGCGCCGCGTCGCGTCAGATCCGCGTTTAGGATTCTAAGATGGCGGTTTATACAAGGGGCGGGGCTTGCGGCAGCAGCGCGAGAGATGATTGGACAGCCGTGATGACGTAGCATTCGTGTTTTATATTCTTTTTTTTTTTTTTTTTTTGGCTGTGATGTTTAGTGAAGTATTACTACGGACTGTATGTATCACCATTATTATTCTTCTATTATGCCACTATTATACTATTATACTATTATTATACTTCCAAGAGAAAGTGTCCAGCTTTCTGGTCAAAAATGTCTAAATCTAAATCTGTGCTGCCTTCAGTGCCCTCGGCAATCTCCAGTAGTTGATGACATCACACAAGACTGTCCTGATTACAGGCATGTGTTAGAACACCTGATACAGACACACACATTTCCCTCCTCACTCTTCCCTTTCAACACTTGTGTCTCCTCTTGCCTCTCTCCTCTGCTCCTCCTGCTTCTCTCTCTTCTCTCCTCCTCGTTCCTCTCTCTCCTCTGCTTCTCTCTCCTCTGTTTCTCTCTCTCCTTTACTCCTCTGCTCCTCTGCTCCTCGCCCTTTGCTCCTGGACTTCTGTATGACCAGATGCTTGTCTCCATGGAGACAGACACATTTAATGCCACGCTGTGGAACTTTCCAGTAAAGCCAAGACATCTCAGAAAAGTTACACAATACAGCTTTAAAGAGGTTGTGTAAGGGAGTGACCACTAGGTGGTGGGCTTGCACTTTGTTTTCATTAGTAAATTGCAGTTAATTGTGTTTGGCCTTTTTGATGGGAGAGAGTCTCACCAGGAGGAAGAGCCAGGACACACTGGAGGGACTATGTCTCTGGACTGACCTGGGAACATCTCGGGATCCCCCTGGAGGAGCTGGAGGAAGTGTGTATGGAGAGGGAAGTCTGGGCCTCCCTGCTCAGACTGCTGCCCCCTCGACCCAACCCAAAATTGTTCCCTCATTAAACACAGAGAGGTTTCATGTCATCCATGTGTCCAGGCCCTATTAAAACCTCCCAACAGTTACAGGCCAGTACAAGGCTCCACCCACAAGCCTCTGTCACCCATGCTCCCACACAACAGTTCTCTGGTTTAGATCTGGTTTAGACCTGGTTTAGATCTTTATCTTTGTAAAGTGTAAATCTCAGGGAAACCATTCCCAACAACCGCAACCCAAACTCTCTGTACCCCTCCTCTCACCCACCCTGACCCTCCGTCACGCCACCCCTCTTTCTCTCTCTCCCTCTCTCTCTTTCCCTCTCTCTCCCTCTCTCTGTCTCTCTGTCTCTCTCTGTCTGTCACCCCTCCTCCCTCTCGCTCACCTCTCTATTTCCCATCTCTCCATCTCACTGCATCTCCACACACAGCTCCACAGCCCCCCTCACACACCGACACAGAGCGCTCCTGTCTGCACCTGTCTGCTCCTGTCATATGACCTGAGGACTTTCACACAAACAGATGGACATGGAAAAGTTTGGATTTTTTGAAGAAAACGAAGAAGGATTTGAACCTGAACAGAACTTTGTCTATTGAAGTCAAGGTAAGAAAGAGACTAAAGCAGGGCTAAACCAGGACTAAACCAGGACTAAACTATAGGACTAAAGCAGGACTAAACCAGGACTAAACTATAGGACTAAAGCAGGACTAAACTATGGGACTAAAGCAGGACTAAACCAGGACTAAACCAGGACTAAAGCAGGACTAAACCAGGACAAATCAGAACTAAATTGTGGGACTAAGGCAGTACCGAAACAGGATTGAACCAGGTCTTAAACAGGACTAAACCAGGACTAAACCATGACTAAACCAGGATTAAACCTGGAGTAGACAAGGACTGAATCAGGAACAAAACAGGGCTAAATCCAGGACTAAAGCAGGACGAGACCAGGACAGACCTGAGATGAAATGAGTCTGTCATGGAATGAAATGTATTAGACCAGGACCAAAGTATGACACTAAACCAGATCTAAACCAGGTCTAAACCAGGACTGAACCAGGTCTAAACCAGGTCTAAACCAGGTCTAAACCAGGACTGAACCAGGTCTAAACCAGGTCTAAACCAGGTCTAAACCAGGACTGAACCAGGTCTAAACCAGGTCTAAACCAGGTCTAAACCAGGTCTAAACCAGGACTAAACCAGGACTCATGTAATTCCTCTCTCAGGATTATTTGACGTGGCAGTTTGAAAAGCCTGTTTTCCAGATGAAATAATCCATCATGTGCGTCGCTCGGATTAAAAGGCTTCACTCACAAAAACAAACATGTTCCATTAAGAAAAAAAAATAAAATAAAAAAAATACTTAAAGCAAAATCTTGTCATAGTTTCATCAGTGTCATATTTTTGTCACAGCTACACAGTACAAAAGAAATTAGAAGTATTTCTATTAATACTAATAGTACTGAGAGAGAGAGAGAGAAACAGAGAGAGAGAGGGAGAGGGAGAGAGAGAGAGAGAGAGAGGAGAGAGAGAGAGAGAGAGAGAGAGAGAGAGAGAGAGAGAGAGAGAGAGAGAGAGAGAGAGAGAGAGAGAGAGAGAGAGAGAGAGAGAGAGAGAGAGAGAGAGAGAGAGAGAGAGAGAGAGAGAGAGAGAGAGAGAGAGAGAGAGAGAGAGAGAGAGAGAGAGAGAGAGAGAGAGAGAGAGAGAGAGAGAGAGAGAGAGAGAGAGAGAGAGAGAGAGAGAGAGAGAGAGAGAGAGAGAGAGAGAGAGAGAGAGAGAGAGAGAGAGAGAGAGAGAGAGAGAGAGAGAGAGAGAGAGAGAGAGAGAGAGAGAGAGAGAGAGAGAGAGAGAGAGAGAGAGAGAGAGAGAGAGAGAGAGAGAGAGAGAGAGAGAGAGAGAGAGAGAGAGAGAGAGAGAGAGAGAGAGAGAGAGAGAGAGAGAGAGAGAGAGAGAGAGAGAGAGAGAGAGAGAGAGAGAGAGAGAGAGAGAGAGAGAGAGAGAGAGAGAGAGAGAGAGAGAGAGAGAGAGAGAGAGAGACAGAGAGAGAGGTGCAGATGAAATATTCACACATTCCTAACTGGGACAAGTCCTCAGACACTACATCCACTGAAGAAACCAGGACTGAACCAGGACTGAACCAGGACTAAAACAGGACTAAAACGGAACTATAACGGGACTGAACCGGGACTGAACCAGGACTAAAACAGGACTAAAACGGAACTATAACGGGACTGAACCGGGACTGAACCGAGACTGAACCGGGACTAAACCGGGACTAAACCGGGACTAAAACAGGACTAAAACAGGACTAAAACGGGACTAAAGCGGGACTAAATCGGGACTGAACCAGGACTAAACCGGAACTGAACCGGGACTGAACCAGGACTAAAACAGGACTAAACCGGGACTGAACCGGGACTGAACTGGCAGTACACTGACCTCTGACCTCTGTAGCAGGCTGCATTGGGTTTAATCACTTTGTAAATCTTATAGGATCCAGGCACAGACTGTATAAACAAATGTGACGTCAGTGTGACCTCCAGTCAAATGAAGCTCATCGGGGCTTGACGTCATAGGAGCCAATTTGGAGTCAGTTCCACATTTGACCATTTAGACAGTGGAGACACTTCTGGCCTGCACCGATCTGCTCCAAAGTGAACCAGTGCAGACTAGGCTAGAGAGAGGCAGCGGTTTGTACATAGAGAGTGAATTAAAGCCAGAGTGGATGGAGCTGAATCACCCCCATGCTCACATCCTGTACAGACGCTGACGAGGCTGGCTGCTATAGGACGCATTGAAATATCAAAATAAAAACCTCAGGATCATGTAGAGTGGGTTAATATGAACATTTCAAACCAGACTTAAACCTGACTTAAACCTGATTTAAACCTGACTTACACCTGACTCAACCCTGACTTAGACCTGATTTAAAACTCACTTAGACCTGATTTAAAACTCACTTAGACCTGATTTAAACTTGACTTAAACTTGATTTAAACCTGACTTAAACCTGACTTAAACCTGACTTAGACCTGACTTACACCTGATTTAAACCTGACTTAAACTTGATTTAAACCTGACTTAAACCTGACTTAGACCTGACTTAAACCTGACTTAGACCTGACTTAAACCAGTCTTTGTGACGCTCTGTCTCCCCCTGCAGGTGTATTTCAGTATGACGCAGCGCCTGTTGGACAGCCACTCCCCCTCTTCCTCCCCCTCTCTGTCCCCGGTCTCCACGGTGTTCGTCAGCGGCTCCGTAGCGCCCCCTCTGGACGTGTTCCAGGTGAACGTGGGGGGCAGTCGCTTCTCTCTCTCGGCCCAGATGCTGGCTCCGTTCCCGGGCACGCGCCTGGGCAGAGTGGCCTTCTGTCCGCAGGAGGCACTGGAGCTTTGCGACGACTTCAGAGAAAACGAGTTCTTCTTCGACAGGAACGCGCAGACCTTTCAGTGAGCACACACTTCACATTCTGAGTTTGTCAAGACTATTTCAGTGAATAAAGAGGCTCTAAGGGACTCTCTCTATAGTGACTATTTTCTCCCTAAATCGAGATATGAACATTAATAACAAACAAATCTGGCTCCATTTTTTCCAGAGGTCGTTCCTGCTGCAGTAGGGTGACTGGATTTAAAAAAATAAAAATAAAATAAAAAAATGGGACACTCTTGGTTTGGGGTGGCTGTGAAACGAGTGTGTAATTAAGGAAAATTGTTCTGCACTCGGCACTAATGTGAGTCAGTATAATCCCATTTTCTTTGTGTCTTGGTCGTTTTTAAGCAGCTTTTCTGTATTTTACTGAAACAAATAACAATATATGTCTCTCTTTACTGTTGGCAGGGATCAGATTGGTCAAAAACAGGGACACCTGAGAGGTTTCTTGAATAAAACTGGGACAAATCAGTTGTTTTGTATAAATCTGCTGGAACCGGGGACACAGAACTCAAACCTGGGACTGTCCTGGGTAAACAGGGATGTTTGGTCACCCTACACTATAGAGTTAGCAACAGGTTTGACTGACAGTGTTGCTAAGTGCTCACTCTCTACCAAACCAGCGGTGTGAGCAGAAAGGGGCGTTACCTTCCAGGATATCCCCAGGTTTGACTTCCTCAAATTTAAGACATTTTTAAGACCATTTAAATGAAAATTAAGACCAACATGACACCAATTATACAGGCGAAAAACACCAGATCCAATTCTAATAATGACCAACCAACTACCAGTAATAAATGTAGAATCTAAGAGCTACTGTTTATCAAACCAACACTTCCCCATGATCCATCCAATGCCTTCCTCCACTCTACTGATCGTTTATTCATTGCCGCCGGCACCAGAAACCAAAGTATTGTTTGTGCAAACTCCAAATTACACGTTCATTCACGTTATGTGATTTCACGTTACTCATTTTTTTCCCCCATCCGTTTAACATCACACTGCAGCCCGGCTGACTCTACAAAATAATAGGCTAATGAAATTTAAGACTTTTGTGAAAAAAATAAGTCTTGGACAACGTAATTTAAGATGTTTTAAGGCCTTAATTTAGGAACATGTCGAAATGCATTCTATTAAATGTCTGTGGTGGACAAATCCGAGTCAGTTCTCCCGACATCTGTTGTAAATATGTTCCAATGCAACAGTCGGGGAAAATATGGATGACCAAGAAAGTTTAATGCAATGTCAGGTATTGCTAACGTTAACTGTCGGCGACATTATGTTCAGAAAAAAAATTTGTGTTACTGTCACATGATGTGAAAGGAAGTCTAAATGTCACTACAAAGTTTTTAGAAGACACTTTCTCTACACACACAACTTGACACATCAAAATGACAAAAAGACAATTCTCTCCGTTTACTGTGTGAGTCGACACAAACTAGCCCCAGTTTGTGGTGGAACCCTGATTTGATTGGCCGTTCCATTGCACTTTCTCAAGGTGGAGGTCGGTTTTCCCTGAGTCCAGAGCATGTTAGAATACAGCAACTCGGCTTCAGATTTGCTCCTTTAACTGCTAGCCTCAGTGAGCTTCATCAGGCTGGAGCTGATGCGTTTAGCAATGCTGTCAGTCAAACATGTTGCAAATGCTTGTGAGATCAAATTCAGGCAAAGAAGGCGTCTGCTTGGTTATTCATGTTCATATGTTGAAGTGGAGTGAGTGCTTGGAGCTGAGTCGAGTCCATGTTAGGATGATCAGACAAAATTCTTCACTGTGACACATCCAGGCTGGGATGGTTGGTATAAATAAAACTGTGAAAGAGCATGGATTCTCACATCTGTCATAATCTGAGGGACATGTTTTTGCTTGATGGTCATTTGCAAACACCAGGGTTCCCATTCACAAATAATCAGAACAGACTCATGAGAACTTCACAGAACACTGTAAATGTGTGAAAGAGATACTCAAATTCCATAACTTTTCCAAAACTTTAATTGAATTTACAAAATTTCATGACATTTCCAGGCCTGAAAAGTGACATTTTCAGTGTCCATGACTTTTCCAGGATTTCCATGACCGTGGGAACCCTAGAACAAAAATTTTGGCCAAACAAATTATAATTTATGCTCCTCTTTATCAGATTGCTGAAAAAATTGTGATAGTCCTGTTTCAGTCCTTTTTTAGCCCTGGTTTAGTTTTGTTTTAGTCCTGGTTAAATTGGTCAAAAATAGAGACACCAGGAACATTTCTTGTATAAAACTGGGAAAATCACAGTTTTTTTGTATAAATGTGCTGGATCAGGGGACACAGGGCTCCAAACTGGGACTGTCCTGGTTAATTAGGGATGTCTGGTCTCCCTAGCCCATGTTCAGTTAGTCTGGAAGGCAGCGGCGAGCAGGTTAGCTCTGTTCATTTACATATACAGTGATGATGAAACAGCAGACTGTTGTGATGTTTCTCTCATCTTTGGTCTCCTCTTCAGGTACATTCTGAACTTCTACCGCACGGGGCACCTCCACGTTCATGAGGAGGTGTGTGAGCTCTGCTTCCTCCAGGAGCTCCAGTACTGGGGCCTGGACGAGCTGAAGATCCAGAGCTGCTGCAGAGAGCGCTACTATAGACGCAAGGACCAGAGAGATCTAAACCAGGATCTAAACCGCGATCTCAAGGACCTGAGAGACCTGCAGAGCCTGGAGGAGGAGGACTTTGAAGGGGTGGTCTTCTCTGAGCTCAGGCGGAAACTTTGGGAGGTTTTGGAGAAGCCGGACTCTTCTCGCACCGCCCGGACTTTTGGAACCTTTTCCATGACCTTTGTGGTTCTGTCTGTGGTCAACATGGTGCTGATGTCCCTGGATTTAGGAGAGGTCTGGACTCATGTCTTGTTTTTTATTGATTCTTTTTTAAATCTCTGTTCTAATGTCGTTTCCTCATCACAAACACATGAATGTTTTGTTTCATTCACACATGTTGAACACACAAATTACATAACAAATTACATAACAACATACATGTTGAGTTCTTCTCTCAGACAGAAATCAGTCTGTTCCACCTTGTGATGTCATGTGGTAATACAGGAAGTGCTCCACTGTGTTTTTAAACTCCACACACCTTCACTAGAATCACTTGGATCATTTTGGCTCTACTGAACTAAAGGGAAAAGGAGCTGTTCACTTGAAAACTACAGCTTCATGACATCACAAAGTGGAACAGAGCGTTTGAGCAGACATTAGACATACTAATGATAAAGTGTTACTCAAACTCTCTCCCCAAAGAACACTTGGACTTTTCCATTTATTATTGTTTATTTATACACTTGTGAGTGAGACTACGTTTACACTGAATCACTGTATCAGTGTCCACAAATCTTCCCTCTCCACACAACTTTGAGAATATCTGTTTACATTTTACAGAAACAAAACTTAAAACTACATGGCTCATTTGCATAAACTAAGCCTTAAAAAACATCTCACTATTGTGCGCTGATGTGGTTCAGCTTCTGTCGGACTAAAGAACATGACTCATTGGAATATGAGTGTTCTTTCTGTGACAGAGGGGTGTTCTGCTGATGGTGAGTCTGTTCTGCGTTTCTGTCATGTTGGAGATGGTTCATGTGAAACTTTTCAGAGATTATACATCTGCAGGTCGTACACACAGACACATGTTTATATGAATGGACACATATTCTAGCCTCTACGTTCAGACAGCAGGGCTTAACGCTCAATTCGGATTTCTTTGTGAAATCCAACGTATTTGCGAGGTCGTTCACATTTCCAATTAAATGTGACTTGTATGTGACTCCAGTGTGAACATTAAATGGCCTGAAAGTGTCCCACATGTGCACTGGAGACACGATGACGTCAACCGCAGCGAGCGTCTCTGTGTTTACGGAA